AATTTGAGTTGAATTACTGAAATAAATTAACTTTTCCACGACATTCTAATTTATTGAGATGCACCTGTATGTGTGGTCTCTGTCAAACCGCTAACTATATTTCTAAGAGTGGACTCTCTCCATAGACCAGGCCTTACAACTCACCTTGGTAGTTTTGATTTTGTTCCCAGAGCTGCAGGACCAGCCGGTGAGGTCAGGCAACACTTTACACTCTTCACCATTTAAGCATGGCTCCATTTGAACATCCAAAAACTTATTTTAAATACAAAATTGATTTTAGTGTGCTCAAAATACTTTTTTCTTTGCAAAATGAACATTTTCTCCACAAAACTCAGATCGTGCGCATGTAAAATGCACTTTTGTGCGCTCAAAATATGATCTTTCGTGCGCAGAATTGTGGCAGAGATCTAACCCTATAGTCAAACCCCTTACCATAGCCATATGCGAGCTTCAGTGTAAATATTGCGTCAATATAAAATGAATTTGAGCGTGATTTTTTCCCCCTTGGGAAAGCTAGCATGTCTCCAACATAGTGATAACACTCGTTGCCTTCTCTAGTGCAGCTCAACCAGGTCTCGTCCCATTCGTCGATATTTGTGATATCGCAAATCCCGGAAAATATGCATTGTAGTCGTTCGTTGTAGTTTTTGAAAATTGATTTCTGTTAAATAAAATATCTCCTTTTGAAGTGGACTTTGAACTTTGCAGATCTTTTTTATGCTCAAACAGCAACATTACAGACTAACTAAAGTTGAAAAAGTGAAAAAGCATAATAGGACCCCTTTAAAATAAATAACAGCACCAATGACTGACCTTATCATTCTACTTAATATATTGCTAATTACAAAGTGAATGAATACAACAATGATATAAAATACTGATTTAGTTTAAATTATTTACGTATGTGAAAAGAAAGAGAAAGCAGAGTGATACAAGAGACATACAACTAGCATGCTGTTTGCCAGAGACAACAGTCTAGACTCTAGAGTTTAGCAGTATTCATATGTGACCCTGGACCACAAAACCAGTCTTAAGTCACTGGGGTATATTTGTAGCAATAGCCAAAAATACATTGTATGGGTCAAAATTATTGATTTTTCTTTTATGACAAAAATCATGTTCCATGAAGATATTTTGTAAATTTCCTACTGTAAATATATTAAAATGTAATTTTTTATTAGTAATATGCATTGCTAAGAACTTCATTTGGACAACTTTAAAGGCGATTTTCTCAATATTTAGATTTTTTGTTGCACCCTCAGATTCCAGATTTTCAGATTTTCCATTGATTTATTCAGCTTTCAGAGAATGTATAAATCTCAATTTCGAAAAGTTTACCCTTATTGGTTTTGGACTGGTTTTGTGGTCCAGGGTCACATATAAACAACGTTTTGCATATGTTTTCCACAACAGACCAATCAGAATCTAGTATTCCAGAGATCAGTGTACAAAGAATGTATAAAATCACAAATAACTACATTGGATTAAAAACACACTGTGAAATACTGAGTTCTGATAAATTTTCTCAACTTTTCACCTGCTCAGAGGCATACAAAAAATGACCATATCATCACACCCACATAAACTCACTGCCCACCTCTCAGATGCACATAAACCCACACTCAAGCCCACACAGAAAGAAGAACATGCATGCTAAATTACACAAAAAGGCACGAGCTATGGCTGATTAATGCTCCATGCTGACAAAACCGCATGACAGAACAGCATATGTTGGATTTTGGACGCAGTCACAGCATGGGTCCCTTAACCTGCAAGATTTGTGCTGGTCATTCAGCTTCATCATAAAGACAGTGCTGGTCTGAAAAATCATGCTAGTCTTTTCAGCAGGATAATCAGGGACAGATCCATACACAGTCAGCAGCTTCTTTTGTAAAAAGGTAATATCCAGCTTAACACAATACATGTGCACCCCAGGCACAAGAATATAGTAATGCTATTGAAGATATGAGAAAATGTATGAAAGTGAATGTGGTATTACATCTGGATTTTTCTTTCAAAACTTTTTTCTTGACATTTTATCTACGAATGAATTATAAAGACTTTGAATTGAATTCTGCATGATTCTGCATGATCGTTTTCCCAATCTAAATCCAAGTACTAGAGAATAATCACTGATAGCACAAGTGAATGCAAGCTCAAGTGGCCTGTGTACAAAAAAAGGCATTGCATTATATATATATATATATATATATATATAGGGTATATTAATGAGGAATATTTATTTATATGAATGAATTTTATTAATAAACAATACCATAATCAGTCATCTGCCAATTTTGGACATTTACAGATATACTGATATTCAATTGTAAAAGCCCATCAGCTAATAGCTACTTAAAGTTAATCTTTAAAAACAGTAATAATTTAACAACATTGTTAAAAGCAATCTTTAGCAAAACTCAAATATCCATTTTTCATACTTTACATTATAATGTTAGGATGTCTAAATTTATGTGGCATTTAAAATGACTGAGTGATGTGAATTTTTAGTTTTATATTTAATTTATATTTATTTAGACAAAATACTATAGAATTTTAATATCGACCATTTATTGGTTAATTAATTATTAGTTTATTGTATCAGCCAGAATATAGATACCTCCAGCAAGAAACACAGTCTGTGGCATTAAATCCCGAAAAATATCTGTGGATTGAAAAGTCGGCAAACTGGCAGAGCAAGATTAGATTCACACCTCGAAGCCTGGGCTAAATTTAAGTAGAGTGACAGCTTGAGAAAGCCACTGGTTTTTTGTTGCTGGAGTTTTAATCAAATGGAGCCCTGAAGTCTAACCCGTTTCTGAAACTAAAATAGAGTCAACTGGAGTTTGCAAACCATCAAATGGAGCCAGGTTTATTAATATTAACTAAAACTGGACCTGAAACTAAACACATCAAAAAAATAATGACTTGAAATTTAATAAAACATTTAATAAAAACTGTATAGACATATTTAAAGAAAAAAAAAAGAATAAAAAATTGTTACCAAAACTTTAAATAAAACAGAAAATACATAAACAAAATTCTAAAATTCTAATTCAAAATATTAACAAAAACTATAACAGAATGTCAATGATACTAAAATACCACTGACTGCAGCTTATGCTGTCATACAAGTATTTATTTGTTTGTTTTGACCAATATAACAGTTATGGCCTGTACTGATACCTATTGGTGTAGAAGCAGCATCACACAAATTAATATAAAAAGCTGTGACCGTGGACAGTGGGCATACCATCAACACATGAAGGTTGGGCATGGGTGGTCCCAGCAACCTGTCCAGGGAGACATGAGCACTTGACCGTCTGAGATCTCTCCTCTATTTTATTCTTATTACAGCAACGATGAGCTGCTACCACTTCACAGGTTCCCGGCTTAACTTCAGACCGACCTTAGATTGACAGAAAGACAGTTCGAGACATTTCATGCAGAATGTTTGTCATATTGTGTACTCACACATCTTGACATTTAAAATTGTGAAAAAGGCACAGGCAGCATTATTTCTAGTATTCTGGCGCCCTCACATGGACATATACAACACTACAATAAACCTATGCTGTTGAGCTCTAATCCAGTGACATCACAAAAAAGCAGAGGAAAAAAATTAAAATGACCAAAATTCAAAATTTTAGAAAAGTACCGTTTCTGAACTTTGGTTGATTTGACACAGAGTGATGGAGTATATATAAATACATATTATTTGACTTTTTAAGTATGTAAATAAACACTGTCAATCTACCAAACACCTCATGGCCAAATGACTGAATGAGTTATAATGGGTGGCAAATGGTTCTTTAGCTGTTATTAGCAGTGGTCTGACTGTGCTCCCAGAGGGGCCATATAACTGTGTGTCCAGTGTGTTTAATTAGACCTGAGGGGAAAGACAAAAAGGGAGAGAGAGAAAGAGAGAGAGATGTTGCAGTAGCTTAGCTCACCGGTTTGGCCTCGAGAGCTTTGGTTGCTGCTGGACACTGACTGTGAGCACAGGAGCCACACACACACAAGTAGAAGAGCCCCTGGTTTCCACTTTACTTTATTCCTGTAGATAAGCTCCACACAGATTTCTCTTTTGCAAGACATGCTTGCATTTTCCTTTAAGGAAGAAGCAGTCTATTTTGTCTTGATCATTATTTTAATACTTTTTTAGTAATGCATGCATCATGTGTAATTACAAAAGCCTATTTCTGTAGCATATTTAAAAATAACAGATTACGACCAAAGCTTGCAGCTAAAATACCAAGGGATATTAATATTATGACACATCATACATTCAATACATCTTACTAAGAATAGTAATTGCTCTGCCTCAAACTGGTAGATCTTAAGAGGATACCTGAATTTAGTATGACACTTCACTTAATGTTCTGTCATCTGCGAGCCATCAAACGCAAAAGAGTGTCTTTTCAGTTGCATCATCCTTGTTATCATCTTTATCATTTGCAAGGCCTAGAAAGAAACCCCCCCCAAAAAGTGAGGGAAATAAAATGCTGTTAGCGATTAGTATCAGTATTACTGTCAAGTCCCCAGGGTTAATCTGATCTTTCATCCGATCTGCAACCCTGCCTTGACTAGTGAGCTCAGAGGTTACTGCTCTCATCTGACTGTTATTGACAAAATGTGTCTTTAAACACAAGCTTTTATATAGTACCTGACCTGACTACTGAAAACATAAACGGACCAAAATATGATGTTAATTAGAAAGCAGAGATTTAAGGATAGACTAATCAGATTTTGTTTTAATTCAGTTTTAAATTCCCCCTTTTCACCCTGAAGAGTGAATAATAAAAATGAATAGGCTTACAATTTATTTGAGGAGGTAGCCTATAAACATTTCAGAGGTTAAGGGAGAAACGTTATTATTAACGAATGCAAACCAATAATGAAAACAACTTATAAAATCTGCTACTCAAATTACTGGTATACTAATTTACACTCTTCCTGACTCCCAAAAGAATGAAAATTGTGATAAATTGCGACAATATTAGCTGATTCGTGTCAATCTTCCCGTGTCAAGAGTGTGTTGTTTTCGAGGAGTATTTATCTTCACTGATTTTTATATGACGAAAAATGCAAAAGATGAAACATGCTCTAATGCGATACCTGCCCGCAGTTTTCATTTGCTAGATAACTTTTGATCTTTGCAAGTTATCGCGGACGTAATGCGCACGCCGCGTTTACGTTATTCATAATTTATTTTCATGTACACAAAGTGTATAAGCATAATTTTGTAAACGAAGAGAAAATACAAATGATTCAACCTGCTCCTTTTAAAAAATTAAAGTTTAGAGTTGGCTTACCTGTATTTCTTCAGGAAAACATGTCCCTCCGCTTCATGTACTACTTCAGCACTGCTGACTGGAAAACGCTTCCTGCATGCGTCAGTATCAAACTTAATCAAGAGACCATCTGTTCATTCAGATCTTCTCTATTACTACTCTAAAGGCGATTACTTGCGTTAGTAACGTGGTAGACAGGGATATTTAATAACACGAGCTCATGACAGGAAGAAACTACCATACTAACATTTCCATATAGGGTCTATAATAACAATACATTTGATTTAACTTAAGTCCAATTAAAAGAACATTTTAGATTTATTATAAATATAAATTATAAAAATACCTGTTTATTTTGGAGTACATGTAAAAAGCGTAACTTTTAAGTGCAGAATTTTGGCTTCTGCTAAATTTAACATTTTATACATGCAACTTGTCTGGACAACCAAAAACTAAAGACTGTGTTCAGACTTAATCAAGAAAAAAAAAAAAAAAGCAAGTCACTAACTGATTGAAGCTTTATTTGTGTCAGCAACATCAGCATCTGTCACGTCTGTGTCTTCATAATCAAACTTGCCATCTTCTCTCACCATCTCCAGTGCCCTTCACATGCCCCATTGTCTTTCAGTGACCCTCACCGGACTCAATGTCTTTGTGGTAAGTGGCGACCCTCACTAGCACCAGTGCTGTGTTGTGTGATGATCCTCACTGGCCCCAGTGTCTTTGCAGTGACCCTCAGTTGCCCCAATGTCCTGCTGTGACCCTCCCAGTGCCTTTGTGGTGACCCTCACCTGCCCCAGTGCCTTACAGGTGACCCTCACCTGCCCTAGTGCCTTACAGGTGACCTTCACTGACCTGCGGTGATTCTCACTAGCACCAATGTCTTGCAGTGACCCTAACTTGGCACCATTATCTTGTGGTAATCCTCACCGGACCCAGTGTCTTCCAGGTGACCTTCACCTGCCTCAGTGTCTCCAGTGTTTTGCAGTGACCCTCGCTGGCCCCACTGTTTTGCAGTGATCCTTTCTTGGCTCCAATGTCTTGTGGTGACCCTCACCAGCCCCAGTGTTTTGCTTTAACCCTGGCCAGCCCTACTGTTTTGCGGTGATCCTTAATTGGCCCTAATTTCTTGCAGTGACCCTTACTTGTGGTGACCCTCACCAGTCCCAGTGTCTTGCAGTGACCCTCACCGACCCCAGGGTTTTGCGATGACTTTCACCAACCCTATTGTCTTGTGGTGACCCTCACTGCCCCATTGCCTTCCGGGTGACCCTCATCAGCCCAAGTGTCTTCCAGTGACCCTCACCAGCCTCATTATCTTGCAGTGACCCTCACTGGCCCGTGTTTTGCAGTTACCCTCATTTGGCCGCAGTGTCTTCTGGTGACCCTCACCAACCCTACTGTCTTACGGTGACTCTCACCGGCCCCAGTGTCTTCTGGTGGCCTTCACTGGCCCCAGTGTCTTCTTGTAACCCTCACCAACACCACTGTCTTCCAGTGACCCTCACTGGCCCCAGTGTCTTCTCGTAACCCTCACCAACGCCACTGTCTTCCGGTGACCCTCACTGACCCCAGTGTCTTCTGGTGGCCCTTCCCGGCCCCACTGTCTAGCAGTGGCCCCAGTGTTTTGTGGTGACCCTCACAAGCTATAGTGTCTTTTACTCTCCTATATCTGGGTCTCCAGAGGCTTCTCCACTCTCTATGTCACTGCTATGTGGTGAAGGAATGAAAAAGAAAGAAAGAAAACAGTTTGTTCACTTAACACATTCATGACCCATATAATTTTAATGTTAACTTACATCTAGTCTTATTTATAGTAATTTCTTAACTTCCTATGAACACATACACAGGACAACCAGATTAGTCTCTTTCTCTCTCTTTTTCATAATCGAACATAAAAATGTTGTCTGCTGTGATCCTACTGTATACCTGTAAGTGCATGAGCACAACTTTCTCCAAAAACCTCTTAATCCTTTTCTCAATCGCCCAAGTCGTCCAATTTTGGGAAGCTTTAATCTGGAACATACATACACAAAACAAGCATGAATGTTGACTGACAAGCATGCTACAATTAATTAATTAAAATAAACCTATAATGACCACCATCCTGAGTGCCTGCACGTGTACGTGTGTGTGTGTGTGTGACTTCAGCATATATACCTTATTTCTTTGAGTGGCAGTTGTTGGACACACTCTTCATTAGTCCAGTCCCTTTCCTCCTCAAACACACAAACACATTTCTAAACATTTTCAATCTCTCAGATATATAAAAAACTAAAGAATTTTCTGTTATTTTCACTCTTACATACTAGCAATGACTAATAGTTAAAAACATCCTGATTTAATTCATCAATCTAACCCAATCACACAAAGATGCAACCATCATTTGAAACATAAATTTATAATGCAGTATAAACTCACTGCTGTTTTGCTGGTGGATGCATGAGGGTACATGTTTGGCAGCAGGTGGATCAGGTTGTCCAGCAGGTGCTCAATCAAAGCGTTACACTGCCCCTGTTCTTCAACCATGGTGGGGCCGAAAGGAACGCTGCACATGCAGATAACAAATACATGTCACCTTACTAAATACACCACACACCCCATCTTCATTTTATAACTGACAGCTCCATCAGACAGGTCTCTGTGTCTTATATTATATCCTGAAAACTTGTGCATGTAATTCTAGACACCTCAGTCCTTAAGTTATTTTGTAATGTGTTCTGAAGAACAGACTATATCAGCTGAATACACACAAACAAACACTTACTGAAAGATGTTAGGTCCAAAAACTATTGACAAGTTTTTAGACGTCATAAGATTTAGATGACTCTCAGCAACAACACGGGACAGGAAGAACATTAGGTAGCAGAGGACATTTAAATGTTCTTCTGGAAGACTGTTCAGCACAGTCCTCACAGCCTGATTCAGTTCTTCCTTTTTTGAATCTGTAAGATACAAGGATTCAGTAAGATTGAGTCGGATCTTATAAATCTGTTTTGTTGTGCAGCAAGTACATAAAATGTTCACTCATCGCCACCTCAACTTCTCTTACCCCTGAACACCTTCAGCAGTTGTGTCCTGTGTGGCTCTGGAATAAGTCCACCAGGCAATTCCCTGAGGAAAACTTTCAATAAGGAGGCCGAAGTAAGAATATCCCAACTGTCAAACTCTGGAAAGCCTCCTTCATCTAAACTTTTCCTCAGTTCCTTGCAGCGTTTCACTGAACTGCCGGCTCTGAACAGGCCACTCTTACTGAGACCTAAACACAAACATACATTTTACAAATACACACAACCACTACATACAATTGACAAACACTGAGAAACACTATCAAACACTCACCATGCTTCTCCACAAACTCCACTATGTGTCTGAGCACCTGAGGAAGACCCTGCCTCATCTGTCCGCTCTTCCTCAGGCTGATGAGGGGCACACCGAACACGGCTTTTGGTGTTTCCACCTGCACAAGCCGAAGGTTCAGTAGAAAAAAATAATAATAATCAGGAATCTGTAACTTACTTAGAATTGTACTGTACAGCACACCATGCATGAGAAGGGTTTTTATTAATAACAGGTGTACATTTCAATATCCAAGAGTGCATAGACCAGAAACATATGTATTATAGTGTTCTACATGTACACTAATACAAATGTACAATTCGCTATTTGAAAATTAAAGCAAATATGCTAATAATTTTTTTAATGTTCTGAAACTTTATGAAGCTCTTTACTGGGCAGTCATTGTTAGTAGTCTGCTGTGTGCATATCGCATACTTACACACACTGATAAAACACCAATCGCTCCCATTTCCATGAAAGGATCGGGGTTTTTTTTCAGTGGCAGAGCCATCAACCAATCCGAGGAGAGTCCGAAGCCGTGGGTCAAAAACAGAAAAGGGTCAAAACCGGGAGTCCAAACCGAGTCAAAAATCGAGCGTCAAAAACAGAAGGGAGTCAAAAACCGATTGTCAAAATACGAAACGAATCCAAAGCCGATAGTCAAAGTACGAAAACAAGTCAAAAACCGAAAAATAGCTGGAAAATTAACTGTAAAATCTCGCCAAACGCACAAAAACACCAACCGCACAAATCGCCAAAAACTCCCAACAGAGAATTCTACTAAAGAATGTTCATATACCTGCTGCACTCCTCACGTCATAATTGCGCTCTACTGATGATGTAGAATATTCTTAATATACAGTAGTCCAGCGGTTTGATTACATTACTAAATGTGCATACATTAATATTTAAGACTGAAATAAAATAAATAAAATTAAAGCACATTTTATAATACTGCGATGCAAATAAATAAAAGTGTCAACAGAGTGAATACAGCTACATATTGAAGTTTCCTCATATTTCAACTAAAATATAAATTTGCCAATGAATGTTAAATAACTTCAGCAAAGAATTTATTATAGGTCAAATTCATCCACAAACATGAATTTAATAGCATAAACAATATGTACAAACATTAACTTAAAACATATTTTACAAGACACAAAAGCAAAATAAGAGAAATAAAACTATAATGGTAACACTTTACACTAAGGTTCCATTTGTTCACACCGGTTAACTATAGTTCACAAACTAACAACAACAACAACAACAACAACAACAACAACAACAACAACAACAACAACAACAACAACAACAACAACAACAACAACAACAACAACAACAACAACAACAACAACAACAACAACAACAACAACAACAACAACAACAACAACAACAACAACAACAACAACAACAACAACAACAACAACAACAACAACAACAACAACAACAACAACAACAACAACAACAACAACAACAACAACAACAACAACAACAACAACAACAACAACAACAACAACAAACACGGTTTAATTAAAAATCAAGCTGTCTGTGAACTAACAATGAACAGTTGTATTTTTATTAACTATGGTTAACAGAGATTAATAAATACTGTACCGAATGTATTGCTCATTGTTAGTAAATGCATTAGCTGATGTTAACTAATGATACCTTACTGTACAGTGCTACCAACTAAAAAAAAACTGCAACTGACAGGATTACCAGAGGACTGTACTACAAAACTATTTAAAGAAATTCAATACAGGATTGGTTTCATCATTGTTCATTATATATATATATATATAAAAAAAAACATGAAGAATGTAAACACTTACACAGCATAAGAGATCATGATGAACACAGAGTGAGCGATACAGGATGAGTGACTTCATTGCACGTCTGAGACAAGCCGATTGGTCAAATATATGTTTGTGACCTGTGATTGAGACTAACTTGCACTGGAGCAAGTTAGTTGTGCAGTGTTTGCTACTATTCCAATGAACACCAATCCACCTTTGTAGTACTTAATTCTAACCGGTTAAACTTGCTTTGTGGCACAGGTCTCATCATCCTTGCATAATAATCCTAAAATTGTCTGGATAGTTGGTTGATAAAACGACAACATTCCTAATAAATTATGAGTTGCAAATTACAAATTACATGTATTGAAAACAAATACATGATGTTTCAGTTTGAAGTACAAAGCAAATACAGACTCTACACATGAAGGGAGTTATTTAGGTATATGCTGCAAATAAACTGTTGCAGGTGAATTTGAGGAACCTCTGCCATTAAATTAATGTTGTACTTGTTTAATGCTGCATGTTTCTGATGTGAAGTTGAGCTTGAAGAGGACAGTCTGAGGTGTGGTGACATCAGCAACAGCTAACTCCTGTCCATCAGCCAATCCCAACTCTTCAACACACACACAAATCATAGTATTTAAAAATCATGGCATTTATAAAAAGGATAATGCTGTCAACATTCTGACCATTTGGGAATTCAATTTCAACTGTGCTTTTGTGTTTCTGATGGCTGGAAAACATCTCACCTTTCAAAGTTTTGCAGAGATTGGGTCTTGTTCTTTCTTCAATTGAGGCAATGCTCTGAAGGACACAAATAAAACCTTAATATTTAAGCAGTACAAAAAAATACAATAAACATCACTATATTCAGAATCTTAGCATATTAGGGGGCAATTACCTGCAGGTAGAGTGTTTTATTTTTGCCTTCAAGTGTTGCAGTGATAGCTGGGGACTTCATTTGACTAAAAACAGTTTCAAATTCAAGTAGATCAGTATTTATAAATCATTTGCCGCGAGAGAGAGTTAATGGGAATCGTGTACTTACAGAGAAGCATTCTCAGTCAGATACTCCAGCACCTCTTGCAGTTTTGCAGATGGTGGGAACTGTAGTTTTTGAGGAACCTGACTACATGCTGTACAGTTGTCCTGTCAATCATAACAGGCAATATCACAACAGCTGGGATCATTTCACATCTTTTACTTTCAAAAAGCTGAATCTTTGTAAAGAGACCTTAAATGAAAGTTTGTAATTGTGTAACAGATAAAAGATTGAAAATGTCATCATTACCTTTCGCTCTGCTTCAAAAGTATAAGTATACAATCCATCCACATCATTAAAAACCAGATAGTTATTCAATGGGATATATGCGCTGAAAGAAAACAGACACACATAAATTAAGGTCTAGATTAGGTGACTAGTGAAATGTTTTAAATATACATTTTGCACATTTTAGGTTAAATGTTTGAGGAATGTGGCTTGGTTCATAAGATCTAAACACAAAAGGTTTTCACAATAAATTTTTTTTTTTTGGTTTGTTTGTTTTTTACTGGCCATGAAACAAACTTGAAATGTCAAAATGTCAGAGATGGAATCAAAACATACAGATGATTCACCTTGTAGCAATTTTAAAAACCTCTGTGGCGCAAGAAGCTGAAAATGGGGAAAAAATTTAAAACTCAACTACATAAATTAAGAATTTTTTAAAAATAATTTTAAAAATAGTTGTTTCCTCTCAGGTTCGATCCATACCAGCGATGACTGCATTTGTGGATGCAACAGCAGGGATGATTCGTTTAACCACACCTGAAAGAAAAGCATGAACATCTTAGAACTACAGTCTATAAGAAAGCACTCTTGAAGTTTGTCAGATACATCAGTCCAGCCGGCTTTACCTTGAGTGAGTCTGTAGGTGATACCAGTGATATTAAACTCAGCTGCTCTCTTTAAAGACTCCTGGAACACCCACTGAACGTGCTCTGGGTTATCACCATCCAGACCAACAGCATCTGCAGACACACAACAATCACACGGCAATGTAGAGCCATTCAATTCACCGTCAAAAATGTCAGGGTCATATAAACTCTTATAAAACAAATGTATATATATATAGCTTACACACCTCCAAAGGGTTTGTCTTTGAACCACTGCAGCACTCTCACATACTCTATGCAGTGCTCTGGTAGCCGTGGCATTGAGGCAATAGTGCACATTGGGAAAGTGATCTGAAGAGAACACAGCCAAAAGCAGTCACTTCATCTCAGCAATACGAGTGATGTACAATTGTATGGTAACAGCAAACCCTTCATTTACAGTGATGAATGGAATTAACAGCCTATGAGGGTGAGGCTACAGTACTTGTGGTGGGTAAAGCTCCAGTGTGCAGTCTATACAGGCTGTCATTCCCAGCAGGATGACTCTTGCATTCCCTTTAAAGCCCTCTGTCCCTCCATCTATCAGAGGAATGATAGAGCTGGGATCCAAAACTCCATCTTCATAAGAGAGCAGGGACAACTGAAGAGAAACCACACCAACTACAGTTAAATCAAAACATGTCTGTCAGGGCTTATACAGCTACTGTGGCAGACTATATAATGGTTACTCCAATACTGCATATTCCTTTTCACAACCACAGACTAGTCAGCTATGAGCCCTAAGCATAGGCTTAAGTAAAATAAAATGCACAAAGAAGAAAAGGATTTGCGATGAAATTTCATTGGCAAAAGAAAAATTACTGAGTTTAAGTTACTTTACAACGGCAAAACTACTTTACAGATGATTTTAGTATTGTTACAAGTGCTTTTACAGCATTACGCAAAAACCTTTCTGGGTTTAATTTGCAATAAAGACCTGCTGGCTGCACATTATTCCTCTTATTACACAAATTAAGTATTTAAGATAATTTAAATAAAAACTAAATTAAATAAAATTCAGAGTAATAATCTGTAAATACAAATATTACAGATGGATGAGGAAATAAAATGACTGTGTGGATTGTCCGTCAATGGTTAGAAAGTGGGCAGTGTAGTTTTAAAGTGCTGGCAGTTTCAATGTTTTATTTAGCAAACATTTGTTTACTGGCTTTTGATCAAATCCAAATCAGTTTTCAAAGTTAAATGCATGATGTATCAGAACTGACCAGCATCCCATTGATCCAGCGCCTGGCAATGATTGAGTCCAGCCCACAAACAATAATATGAAACTCTACAGGGCAAAGAAGAAATATTCATAGATCAGATCATAGAGTCTATAAATACTTCATAGAGATGGTTTCGGATATAATGAAAAATCTGCACTCACGTCTATAAAATGAAGCATCAAAATCCTGAATTTTTTTAAAATGTCTGAAATCAAATTAAGAAAATACAATATTTGTTTCATTCACAGAGATGTTAAGCATGTGTGTTCAGCACGTGAGTAAGTGTAAAGTCATAGTCACGGCATTATTTTAAAGGATACGGTACAACATTACAACCAGGAACACGCTGGTTTATAAACTCAGCTGCCACATCTGCTTTAGGTCGGCCAACATCTTTGGACCTTAAAGACGTTAGGCATAAACAAAATGAAATAATGTAGGTGGCAACAAACGTGGATATCTGTTTTAAAATGCACACATTCATACCTAAAGAGGAACTGCCTGTTGAGGTTGGAGACATCAATGATGTCCATATCCACAACATGAATATGACGAAAACCTGACAGAGCCTTAAAAAAAAAAAATATCAACAGTATTCACCAAGTTAAAAAATCAGGGACTGGATTGAAAAAATATATAGAGAGACCTTACCAGGTTTTTCAGTAGTTCACAGCCAAGACCCCCAGCTCCAATGACCAGGATTTTGCATGTTTCCAACAGAAACTGTAATGTCTTTTAAAATGAGGAAAAAAAGTCAAAAAAAAAAAAAAAAAGGAAAAAAATATATATATATTACTAACTAAATAATATAAAAGTACTAAAAAAGCAAGCAAAATTGTCCAATTTTTTTCTCACCTCCTCACTAGGTTCAAAGTCTGGGTGTGTGAAGGGGCCAGTTCTCTCCAGGAACTTCTGCACATGACTCCAGCGGCCATCCCAGTCACCAATACTGCAACCTTCAACTGCCATGCTAGCAAAAAACAAAATGAAAAAATACCAAAATATACTTAAGATACATGCAACAACCACCAGAATTTAAAACAATAATTACCTACACTAAACAACCCAAAATAAAGAAAAAATATATATATGGCTCTGATTTCTCAATTAAATGTTTGATAAAAGTTATCTCTATAAATCTTTTTTGCACTCCAGTCATGAATCTTCAAACATTTGACTCGCATTGTTTTAATTGTGAAGCAGATGTTTCAAAATGCCGAGGTTTCTGAACAGTTTATCTGTCAATTAGCTATTAAGTGCTGTCGATACAGTATTCTTACTTGTAGCCCATGCAGCACAGTAAATAAAAAACTGGAACTTACTAGAATAACACTTGACATGGTTTAAGAGTTTTATATCGAAAAGATTGCGACAATAAGAACATCACAGCTAAAGCTCAGACGTAATTAAAGTGATAATGACAGTTCTGTCGGAGCACAGACCAGACATAACGAAGACCATTACTGCACGACATAGAGTAATGCTAAATATCATTAGGTGTCTTGAAAGTTATTAACAAGCCTAGCAGCGTAACACTTCTATGCTATGTGTGCTGCTAATATCTTGCCCTTCACAAATTAAAATCCGATTAATCATTAGATTCTTGTTACTTTCTCCGCTTTGTTTACAAGTCAAATGCAGGATTAATTTTCACAGTCCCTATGCTGAGCAATCCTCAAACCTGCAGCCAGCTCTTAGCATTTCATCACTAACTTCTCAGTCAGCGCCGCTATTCTCCTTCTTTTCTTTTCCCTAAAAAGAAGAAACGAGAGAAGGTTCAAACAAGCTTGCACACGACCACATATCCGTGTAATAATGTAGTAATGAGTTAATCTGCGCTCATTGTTCGTTCTGCGGCACTTACGGCTCTTCTCCATCCGCCATACTTTCAGCGTCCCATTCTTACCCATCCTGCTTTGCGGCGGCGAATCTGTCACCGTTCAAGTCGAAATGCTCGCCACTTGGAGGCCTGTAACCCACTTCAAACTCCATTTAATTTGACAGAAAGAGTTTTTTTCTTTGCAGATTTGAGCATGTGCTGGAGGGATGAAGCACAGCGCCACTGGTTTATACAGTTCGACATTAAATGTCATGGTTATCTGAAAAAGGTATAAGAATATTGTGTATGCAGCACAAAACTAAATGCTACCAGTGCTTGTGTACAGCATCAAGCTATACTTTAATTTTACACACTGACCATGAAAATCACAATGACTGGTCCTTTTACTATGCCTTTAATAGTTTTTTTTAGTTATTTTATTTTATGCATAGAATGTGTTTTTCCCCCTTGTCACAGGCCCAGATTTTTCCATTTTAAAAATCTAAAAAATAATAAAATGGTTTAACAAAATAAAATGTTAATAAAATGGTTTAACCATAAAACTATGATAATCTTAACATGTGAAAATATTAGCCATTTATATTAGCCAATATTAATTGTAAAAATATTTTATATGACTATGACAAATTATACAACAAATTTTACAATAGGCTATATAGGACATATGTAACAATATTTTGCAAAATCACTGCTAAATAAAACATTTTTTTTTGTCAGATGTGCTGTTGTTGTTACCAGTGTGGCATGATTTCTCAGACTTTCTATTAACAGTATTTTTGATATTCTTAAGATTAATAAAGCAATTTTTGTTTCAAGCAAAGACCAAAAGAAATTAAAGCTGCAAGCAGCGATGAACGGGCCCTCGCACCCGGGCTCACCGCCATAGGGTGGCTTTAGTAAAACAGCGAACGGCGAGCATTATGCATTTAAAGTGCCTAAAAAAGAAGAGATGAATATATAATGCACTTTTATGGAAACAAACATAAGTAGTTATATCAAGATGAATATTGAACTGTTGATGTATTACATCTTATAATTATTGTATTACATGTGTTAGATGGAGGATTATGTTTGATTTTAATTTTAAGTTAGAGATTAATGTTTACAAGAGCTTCAAACCCAGAAAAATTCATTAAAAATATCAATTTCTTACACAATAACACAGTCTACATTACGCATGCTTCTGTTTATCTGAGATCATATCCTTCATTTTTATTTATTCTTCTTCAAAATTAATTGATTTTATTTCACACCGAATGTCAAAACTAGTTTATTCACAGAAAACAACCCCATTCGAATTGTTACAAATTATAACCAGCAAAGTAACTGAAACTTTATAAATTCAACACCCTTAATAACTTTATTATATTTTAATTACATAATCATAGGACACATCTTATAATCATCTTTTTTTAATCAAAAGATTTTTATGTTTTATTTTACTTTTCTGCAAAATGTCCAAATATTTTAATGCTTTCCTTTACTAGATTTTCAAATACCAGTGCTAAACCTTCATTGGTTCAAATTATGAATCTACCAGTGAGGAGATGTTTTTCACACTGTCTCAAAGTGCTTTTCTTTATCTGAGTAAATGCTTTTTGTACCCTGACCCTCTGACAAGCACTTCTCATCCCTAACCTATTTCCAGCACTGTGCAACAAGGCTGATGTTTGAGTCCCAGACTAGTATAAACATGTATTACTGTGCTAATAATCAAGAAAACCTGAAAGAAATTAGATTATGCCATGTTAACACTGCTTGTGTGTTTTAATAGCATAGCTAATGAATATGAAGTCATGTGTCTTTGAAATAAAACAACTCCTACACACACCTGTTGCCTCCTACAATTGCATCACACACCATTTCTCAGTTTGCGTAACCCCCTGTAAATCAGAATTAATGTGGCCAAGTGTCTTTTACTCTGGTGATATTGGAAACACCCTTAAAGCTTGAGTACGTTTATTACACTGATCTCACGGTAATAACATTATCTGACTAAACTGGATCTGGAAATAGTTCAAATAAAATAATCTGCTCAACTGATTAACCATCTTTCTGGTTGTGAATGAGTGGGTAGTAAAGGACTGTTGCTGAGTGCGGTCGTCCAATCCTGGTTTGCGGGCATCTTGCGTTCTTCAGACTCCCATCCCACTTCTACTCATAAAAGATTCCTGGCTGGCAGGCCAGGCAGTAGCTAATTAGTTAGCTACTATTCGAGAGCAGGCTTAACCAGGTCAATCCGGCCTGTGGATACTTCAACATTTCTCCATTTTCTACCCACACAGACCAACGCGGTGTGCAAACACATGCTCTAGATCGCACACATTTGCGCGTCTTTAGTGCAGTTTGCATTGCATTCGGATAGTTTCGCACAGCTCCGTGCTACAGAAAGCGCTTTCCAGCAGCAGCAGACACCTGGATTTCAGCTGCAAAAGCCAGCACCTTGGTTTTCAAATACACGTGCAGTTTGGGATCGCATACGTCTCTCAATCTGTGTGCAGAATGGCGAGACCTTCAAGGTAAGCGCGTTTTGTTGGTCTCTTGAGTTACAGCAATCGCAGGTTTGCACATGATGCGATCTGTATGTGGGTCTCTCCATGTTTGCTAAATGCTAAGTGGCTAACCAGCATTTTTCTACGCGTGTTTACATTGCGACCCAAACCAGCGAAAATCACACGTAAACACGTAGATTTACATCTCTTTATACACATATAGATTTATTTTCATTAAAACCGTGGCTACATCGGTTTCTGCATCCCCAGACGTGCGTGTGCTAACCGCAAGCATCCAGCATCAAATAAAAAAAGCGGGATAGTAGTTCACGCTGGTGGCTAATTAATATTATACAAAAACAACCAGCTAGCCATCGTCGCCAAAAAAATAAAAACACTCGCTTTACGATCATCTCGTAATTTAGCGAAAATGTGGTATACTAAAAACGTATTGCGGTGTAAGTTTCACGTGTTTTCCAGAGTTAGCCCCGTGAGCATTAGTGTTAGTTTAGCGGCGGCGTGTTTGAGCAGCGCATTGCGCGCCATTACTTCACACACGAACACGCACACACGACTCGAGCCGTTTCTCCTGCAAACTTGTTTTTAATTAATGCACTTTGGGTTCGGATCTGGTTTAGGTCCGAAATCAAGGCCCCTAAGTGGGTAATCAATAAACGTGTTTACGTTTCGCGATAAATATATATTTAAACGCGCCCAAGCTTGTTGTTTTCGTAACATTAGCGTTTGATAAGTGCCAACGAGCTCAAGTGACATTAACACGGGCAACATGTTGTTTCTCATCTGCCAGACTGTATTTTTTATTTAATATGCGAGTTTGGTTGGGAATGTTGTTCTCGTCGGTATAAATTATGGATTGAGGAGGTCCTGTGGGCAGTGAATATAATCTGACCTGCAGGGCCTGTAGTTCAATGCCCCTATCCGAGCACAGAGTCCCTCCCTCCCCACACTGCTGCTGTTGGCATGGCAATTAACCTACTCCAACATGGCACCCCTGTCTCCTCTGCCCCTTCAGTCAAGCCACACAGCTTTAAATAAGAGGAGTGACAGCTCTGTTGCTATATGGAGGATGAATAAAAAAAGTTTTTTTTTTTTTTTTTTACATTTTGGATTCATACATGAGATGAATAAAAAAAGTTTTTTTTTTTTTTTTTACATTTTGGATTCATACAATTAAACTTGTTTTTTTTTTTAACCTGGAGAGAAGTTCTGTTGCATTCAGATCAGGTTGTTTAAACTTTTTTTTTTTTTTTGCAATAACCTGCCAATTCTTTGAGTTCAGACAAATAAATAATAAAAATACTCAAAACTTCAACCAGAGCTAAATGTTTTATTGTTCCTCTCACATTAAAACATTTACAATGTAGAATAGGCCTCTACATCATTCATTATAATTTTATGATTATTGACATTGGAATGTAAGCACTGAAGCATGTAAATGCATTAATATTGTGACAAAAATATTCATATAGATTGAAGACCCCTGTAGTGAACTAATTTTTAGGTCATAGATAATAAATGATTTATAAACATATGCTACTGAATGTGTGTTTGTTATCTTGTGGGTCATTTACTTTTCCTTTCATGTTCTTTGTGCACAGGAATAAAAGGGTTGTTGACTATGCACAATTCCAGGAGTCTGACGATGCAGGTAAGCTCCTCTAATGCAAATATTTATCCTGTTGCATACATCACCATTGTGTTTCCACTTTACAGAGTTCCCACAGTCAGGAAACATCAGGGAGATTTGAAAAATGTTTTCCTCCAGGTTTGGAAAAATCATGAAAATGCTTAAAATAAAAAATGATGGGGAAAAGTGCTCTAATTAATGTTAAATAATGACACTGTGCTGCATTAATAGTTTAGTAGATGCGGTGTTGAATGTGCTTTGAAGTCGTGCTGTTTTCTAACCTGATTCAACTGAATGACTTTATACAGATGAGGAATATGGAAAAGAATCGGTTCGGCCTGAGAAAACCTCTGTAAAACGCAGGTCAGTCTGTTTGAATAATTATAATATTGTTAAATATTAATATGTAGCATCTGAGATAGTAATAAATGATTACTATCTTATGAAAGCAAAAAATTGTAAATAGTGGTTGTAAAAGTGTGATGTTTCAGTTTAAGCACCACTGTCTCATTTGCATGTATTTATTTTAGCGCTCCTCCATTTGAAATGTTATTTATCAGCTGCACATATCCATTACACTGTTTTATTTAAATTCATGTATTTTCTCTGAATTATTTTAAATACCCTTAAAAATAAATGCTGTATTTCTTCTCATGTAGTGATGAATCTCGAATCAAGGACCACAAGAGTAAGTCAATTCTTATATTCCTTTTTTTTTGCCATTATTTTATATTAGGATTTAACATTTAAATTTTACTACTTTATTTAGTTATTGAATATTCTGTCAAAATGCTTTTTCATCCCCTTATTCTAGAGGAATTCAGTGATGACGACAATGACTATGGGGAGAATGAGGAAGAGGAGGATGATGGTGGTGACAGTGATTTTGATGCTAAAGAGGCCAGCAGGGGGAGACGGACAACAGCTAAACGGAAAAGGGCTGCAGGTATTACCAATATAAACACTGAATGACTGCTTCATTCATGACATAAAGTCATGTAGTCATTTTTGATAACATTAATGGTGTAAGCTACTTTCTGTGCACGACTGACATTCAGCCTTGTAAATGTTCTTATATTTTAGATTCTTCATTAAATTCTAAATATGTTATATAAAATATAAGTTAAATCAAAATAATGGCTTGTATTCTTCAAGTGGTCATCTGTGTTGTTTTAGTATCATTGAGACTTTTATACTTAAAAAAAAAATGTTTTTGAGTTTTTATGTTTGTGTTTTCTGTTTTCATTTAAATTTGAGTTAAAGTTGTAATAATGTTGCTGTGCTTTTATTTTTATTAGTTTTTTTAAATATATCTCTATAGTTTGTAGTTTTTATTTCAGCTTTAGTTTTAGTCATTTTAGCACATCAAGTTAAACTAAATGAAAATAAGAAAAGTTGATATAAGGGTTTTTTCATATTGTATTTCAGTTAAGAGCTTTTCATTTCAAGTAACAAAAAGTAGTGTATAATGTTAAATAAAAACATCCCACGTCACAAACTTTGCTGTCAGTAGGCAGTGATTAATATCTATCTATTAAATTCTATCCAATATCTATTGTAAATAATAGTTTAAATGTCATGCTTTTCTTCATTTGCTCTTTATGCTGTTAAAATGCAATTTTGTTCTTTTTTTCCTTTTACAATGTCAGCCTGCTCTCGTCTGTAATGTTGTCACTCTAATTAACTTGCTTTTATTCACTTAAGCAAAACCACAGTAACATTTTCATGTCTGTGTTTGTGATTTGTTTATGCATTTTGCATATTCATGCGGAGTTAACAAACCTTCAGCTTGTGTTAATTAACCATGCATCTGCTCTTTTGACGCACAGATGACAGTGATGATGATGATGGTAAGGTTGTGAGGAAGAAGGGCCGGCAGGTGCGTCAGGCTGCCACTAAAGCTGCATCCAAACAGAGGGAGATTCTTCTTGGGGATGGAGGAAGTGAGGATGAGGAGGGAGAGGAAGAGGAGGAGGAAGATGATGGAGGAAGTGAGGATGTGGAGGGAGAGGAAGAGGAGGAGGAAGATGACAGTGACGTTTACACTGGGGGTATGTAGAGTATTATACTAGAGTCAAAATATTTGACATAGACGTTAGCTAACTGTGAGATACTTGTTGCTTTGATTCATACTTCTCTCTTCTGCTCAAAGAGGATTCAGGCAGTGATGAAGACTTCATGGCTGAGGATGACGATGATGACAGCGATTATGGCCGACCCAAACGGAAGAACTCAAAAGTGAGCAGGAGAAGCAAAGACAAGAAATCCCCTAAACCCAAGATAAGGGCTTCAGGTAAAACCACCCATAATCCTACCATCAGAACGGTCTACTGTAACACCTTCCTAATTAATCGCTTCCTGCTCAAATTAATTAAGAACTTCCTCCAAATGCCTTTAACCGTCACAGTTACAGTAATCAAGTCAATTATCTTCTCCCAGTGACCCGAGGGCCCAAGAAGAGGAGAGGAAAACGTCAGACGAAGGTGAAGAGAGTTGTGAAGAGGGCCTCGCCTAAAGCCGAAGATGAAGATATCGAGAGCAACAAGGAGGAGGAGGACGAGACGCAAGAGGAAGACAGAAAGGAGTCGCCTGCCCCCAAGAAGACGCAGGATGACGAAAGCAGCGCCGAAGGAGAGGAAAACAATGACAACGGTGAAAAGGAGGAGGAGAAGGAGAATGAGAAAGAGGAAAAGGACGATGTTTCTGAGGAGGAAGCTCCATCAGGCGAAGACTGAGCTCTTTCGCTTGCTGGTGAACGTGTCTGTTATCTGTTTTTCTTAACGAGGAGCAGTAGGATTTAATTCCCACAATACTCAAAGAGTGTTTTGGATGTTTGTTATGTCTCTCAGCTTGTAAATACCATATCTCAAAAAACGAAATCTGTAAAGTATTATCAGACCTATCCTAAATCTGTACGGTTTGGCCTAATCTTGAAATGCGGACTTTCATATTAATATTTATCAATGTTTCAATTATAGCTTTGCCGAAACCGTTTTGTTACAGCTGACCTTCAATGTATAACAAAGGATGAAGATGATTTGCCCAAAAAATGCAGATTATACTGTAGGCTCTGTAGTTTACTTTCTGGCACCTTAAAATTTTTCCAAATGCATTTGAAAAGAATGCAACTGCTTGTTAATTCCCAAACAAACCATTTTTGTGACTTTTAATGTACATGATCTCATCCCAGCTGCGTTGACCGGTGAAAAAACACAGGCTTATAATGAGCATATACGCTTGTCGTCATGAACTGCGTTGGATTGTTGTGGCTGCAGTTCAGTCACGTGATTTCCTTGCTACATCGACTGTACGTTACATAGCTCTAGTACGCTACTTTCTCCCACTTTCAGTGCAGTTATTTCTTGATTCAGTCTAGTAAATCAGCTTTTTTCCGTCTGAGCATTTGAACTAAGATGACTTTTTCTATGGTTGTATTGAACCTCTTTCATGGTTAGCATGCTTTCTTTCATGTACGTGGTGCGAAGTACGTCGGTGGGCGGAGTCTCGGGCTCCGATGTAAACCTTCAGGATGAGTGATGTCAGAAGTGAGCTAGTGAAAACCTTATTATTGACCTCTGTGATGCTTCATGTGTGCATTTTCTTAAGAATGTTTGACGCTTATAGATGCCTTTTTTAACTGAGCGGTCCGTTGAGCCATTAGAATGGTAAAAACGAGCTGAATTCAGTGCACACCATCCATAGCTTTCTCAGCTGCATATGACCATTTTTATTGCTTGTATCTCCATCCTAATCTGTAGCCTTTCAGTCTATATCATAATTTATCCCAAATAAATGTTTGTTTTAATTACGCTATTCTGATTTTTGTAAAATTTGTTTTACAAGGAAAAAATAAAATGTATCTTTAAAGAAATCTAGTAGTTGGTGACCTGTTCTTCACGTTTTTACAGCTTAAACTTTTGTTAGACTGTAATGGAAATGACATCATGTTGTTTTACTAGCTTCTTTCAGATTAAAAACTGACATCCAGATGTTTTCTTCAAGTGCTGGATGAATATAGTTGAAGCACAGCTCCTTCTTACAGGTTTGAAGAAGATCAGAGAAGATTGATCCCTGATGTGCAGCTGTGTTTTATGTTTGTACCGTTCCTTAAGCTATGCTACTTTCTTTTATAACCAACACTACATCTCAGGATGGCTGAATATAGTATCACACATGAAATCAAAGCAATAGCTTGAGAGAAACACTAGTTTTATTTGCATGTGATAGGTGGGGCTCTGTATTTCCGCAGTACACAAAAGGTATTTTAAAGTTTATTTTAAATGTTTTAACTACAATAACACAACATTAGGCTCCAGTGACCATTATATGGAAAAAAATTAAAAAAAAAAAATTTTTGTTTTTTTTTGAGTTGTAAAGAATAAAAAGTAGGCTAATGCAGGTTTGGTTCAACATGAGAGTGAGAGCGAGTTATTTAGCATCTGACCTCAATCATAATTTGTCTAGGACGCACATGCTTTATTTATCTTGGCAGAACACATGAAGTTTACACAGCAAGGTGATGACATGGTGAACAATAATTTATTGCAAATAATTGTTTGCCTTAGTCATCATGAGTTTATTTATTTTAATGTAAATACAGTACATTTCTCCATGAACCTCCATGAACTCCAGCCCAAGACCAGTTTAACCAAGAAAAAAACAGTTTTGAATGACTAGGAACGTTCTAGGAATTTCTGCATCAGGTTGGTGAATTATTAAACGAGAGTTTAATCTGGTATTTAATTTAGTGTTAATGATTTTTAGTCTTGGGTAAAGTACAAAACTTTATACATTTTATGCCATAAATTACTTAATTCCCCTCCTGTAATTAAAGATTTCTCACATTTGTTAGTCTTCTGTTCCAATAATATTCATAATTTAGCAGTCAAGATTATCTGCGAGAAACTTAACATCAAATAAACAAAAAATACATATATACCAATACCAAACGTAGCAGAAATACATAAAAAACATACTGCATCACTATGGTTTCTGTTGTTGTTGTTTTTTTTTTTTTACACAAATATGATAATGAAAGCGCACTGACTGTTTACAGTTGTATTGTTAAGTATTTCCAGCAGGTTATGACCCATAAACAGTCTCATCTAGAGTCATATTTAATTGATTCAATTTGTTTTACAGCAACTTTGTGTTCTGGAGCTGCTTTCTCTGAAGCAGGTGGAGCAGGTGCTGGTGACGCTTCCACCATGGCTGCTTTTTTAGATGTTCCTGAATGATGACCACATTGAGCCAGAGTCATATAATGTTGTCCAGTTTACTCAAACAGTATTAATATCACCAGTTCACCAGTACATAAATTATCACCATGTAAGTTTGATGTTTTTACCTGTGAGATTTCTGTGGATGCGGTTGCACAGGATCACGCTGAGAAAAAAGACGAAACCGAGGCATCCAGTGCCCAAACCACACACCAAAAAACTGTAAGTGCCTTTTTTCTGAATTAGCTAGAAGAAATTTGCTCAGGGTTATTTACTTCCTTAGAAAATCTTTCCCAGATATTAAAACAGGAGCCTAAGAACTTACTGATCCAACCAACACCTGCAACGTCATCTCACCCATTCCAGCAGTTGTCACTAAGACTGTTGTTGCACATCCTGAAGAAAAAAAGAGAAAGTGTTTGTTTGGCTTCATTTGTTCATAATTGTGGGACCATCTGAAGAATTTGAAGTCAAATGTAATAAATACATCTATCTATCTATCTATCTATCTATCTAATTGTTTCAAATTAAGAACGTCATTAGATGCCCCCAACAGGAGGTTTTGTCATATTTTCTCACTCACTTTTGGGGTCAAATTTGAATTTCTATAATGATAAAAACTAAGAAATTCATACAATCATAATATAAAATAACAAGTATTTGTAATTTAAAGTCTGTAATATAAATTCATAATATAAAATTATTTAGAATTTATAGAATAATAACAATGAATAATGATAATAATTATTATTATTACTATTATGGAATATAGAATATAAGAACAATATAAAGTTAAATGTCTCCACCATGATATAAAACATGAAGTATGTTTGTGAGTAATTTACCGCGGTACTCTAGGATATCCTCGGTGTAGGCCACTAGGCAGGGGAAAACACTGCTGATGAAAAGCCCAAGCAAGGTCGTCCCAACAAACAGAAACACTCTGTTTGTGTAGAGGATCAGTAACAGCAGCAATGTTACAATCACACCAGCCTGAAGAGAGAGAAGTGAGAGAATTCACATTCAACAATCCTAAATCATTGATTCATTACATACTCAACAGCCATATGCTGTATTTCGAATAGCTGATAGCAACAGGGGAGCAGTATAATAGTAAAAACTTAGTTTGAGTGGATGTGTACTCTATAAACATGAGCTATACTGTATTACAGAGTTTGATAATAGATTACCAGGTTCACGACGAGCAGATGCACAGATCTGAATCGGTATGACAGCGGGATGGACACCAGTCGTCCAGCAGTGACAGCTGCCCAGAAGATACAGTTCAGGTATGCTGCCATTTTAGCGTGCAGAGACATGGGAGCTGAAACAGCATACGTGTAAACAAATCCAGCGTAGACCCCCTAAAAGTGAGGTTCAAGGGTCAATATTAACTTGCAGTTCTCAAAAATATTCATAAAAATAATTAGTCTCATTGAGCTCACTCACCATAATACCTTCCGTCATGAATAACACCAAACCGCCTAAGATGTGGATACCAAAAAACGTGACCGGTAACCCATGCAGGCTACCATTCATACAGCAGCTGAAGATGTTTCCATGTCCTCCATGATGAAAACCTAAGGGGATCATAATAAAAAAAAATAAAACAAGTTGTCACGAAAGCCGTACCTCAATTACTACCAGAAGCCAGAAGTTCAATTGTATAAATGGTTTTACATGTTAGTTTCAGTCACCTACACTACTGTTTAAAAGTTTAAAAGGCTCAGTAGAATTGTTTTTGAAATAAATTAATCATTTTATTAATCAGGAATGCATTAAACTGATCAAAAGGGACAGTAAAGACATTTTTAATGTTTATAAAAGATTTATATTTCAAACTCTGCTTTTGAATTTTCTATTTATCAAAGAATCCTGGAAAAAAAAAAGGTTATGGTTTCCACAAAAACATTAAGCAATACAACTGTTTTCAACATTGAATATAATAAGAAATGTTTATTGAGCAGCAAATCAGCATATTAGAATGATTTCTGAAGGATCATGTGACACTGAAGACAGTTCAAGAAAATTCAGCTTTGCATCACAGGAATAAATTACATTTTAAAATATATTTAAATAGAAAACAGGTTGTTTTAAAGGGGTCATATGATACGATTTCAATTTTTCCTTTCTCTTTGGAGTGTTACAAGCTCTTGGTGCATAAAGAAGATCTGTAAAGTTGCAAAAACTAAAGTCTCAAATCCAAAGAGATATTCTTTATAAAAGCTGAGCCATACCTACCTAAAACGGCTCGTTCTAACACGCCCCCACATATCTACATCACTATGTTGGAAGATTTGCATAACGCCGCCCAAATGTTCACACAAAGAAAGAAGGCGTAACTTTTATTCTCACTGTAGTATTGTTGACACTGCAGCCATGTCGTGAAGACGCTGTGTGCTTCGTTGTGAAAGCGAAACTACTTTGTTTGGTCTCTTTTTAGCAGCATCATATGACCCCTTTAAATTGTAAAAATCTTTCACAATATTGTTGTTTTTACTGTATTTTTGCTCAAATAAATGTAGCCATAGTAAGCCTTCAGTGATGTGTTAAATTAAAAAGATAGTTCACCCAAAAATGAAAATTCTTTTATTAATGACCTTTCCGGGTCTGGGAACATATCAGTTGTGTTGCTGTCTATGCAGGTTCAGAGAGCTCTCGGATTTTATCAAAAATATATTAAATTGTGTTCCGAAGATGAACGAAGGTCTTACGAGTTTGGAACGACATGAGGGTGAGTAATTAATGACAGAATTTTTATTTTTGGGTGAACTATCCCTTTAAGACCACTGTTCACTTGTACCTGCATCGTCTGGTTCAGATATTTCTGTGCCTTCTGGTGCTTTAGTCTCCATGGCCAGCTCATCTTTGTCCAGCAGACGTGGTGTGCTATTTGGGCAGAAGGGGAGCAGCTTCTCTTGGTACATCAGCACAAAAACCACAATCGGCACGGGCAACTAGGAGAGAAAAACACTAGGAGTTCTCACAGAGACCCAAGACCTTTTGCACACCGCACACAGGGCTATGCATCAGCTTACATTTATGAGAGCCATGATCCAGAAGGCGTACGCCACGTTGGCCTTCTCCTCCACCGGCTCTGAGTGTGGGGAATTCTCAGCGAGGATTACAGGTGACCTGAAGCTGGATCTGAAGTGGTGAATTATCTCTGTGGCATTTTCTGTGCTATTACTGCCCAGGCAGTGCTCTGATATGAAAGGGTCTGCAATCAGGGGGCTCACCAGAGCACCGAGCCCAATGAAGAAGTGCAGTGCCTGGAAAGAGAGTGAAGACACAGACAGGAGACTCAAATTAGAGCTGTCAATCTAAGGTGTTAATTTAATAAAAATTAATTATAAAATAAATAAATAATACATTTAATTATGCCCCTATACAAACCACATTCCCCTCCCTAAAAAAAAGGGGAAAAAAAGAAAATGTTG